TAACACTGTCCAGCAGTCTATAATATTAGTGGGTTATCCTCAGAAGTTAATGACTTGAGCCTTTTACAGCTCATCGTATTAATATGGATTTACTTTATATACCTCATTTTTATACTTTTCTGCTGAATGGTTAAAACCAAGATATAGCAAGACCTATATACCAAGAAATGTAAATTTTGTATCTGATAAGTTCAGCCAAGTACTCTCAGGATGCTTTTTTGTTTTTTTCTCAGTATGCTCTAAATTATTTTTAAGTGGTAACACTTTTTGCCCAGAAAGCTGATTTTTTAAAGTCAAATAATTAATGATGTTAATTATTTTGGTTCATTAACAAGAATAAGGTCTCTGATCTCTTTCCCAGACCTTGGTGATTACTTGCTGTTACTCTTTCTCCTACATATTATTCAATAGTTACTTGTTTTCAAATGTTCTTAGGTATTATGTGGTTAGTTCACTTCACAGAACTACTTAGCAATATTATCTTTCTTTGTGCTTAAGTGAGTTTAGTTCTGTAGCCATATACATGGTTCCAATATGTCTTGGACCCAAGGGCATTGTATCTGTGTACATATTTAAATAACAGTCTTCCTTTCCTAAATGACCTTGTCACATCTTTTAGGCCCAACACCTGCCCTATATCTTCTAGGGCAGACATCCACATATACTAATCTTAACTGAAAAAATGAAGATAAAGAGATCTACAAACTGCTATACGTGGTTTCAGGGTAAATTCTGAGGGGATTTGACTGACCTTGTCAAATACAAAAGTTACATTTTTAGTTATATACATTTTGCTTTAACTTGGTCTTAACCATCCATCAGAAAAGTATAACCATAAAGTATAAAAAGTAAAGCCATATTAATATGCTGAGCTGTAAGAGGCTCAAGTCAACAACTTCTGACATTGCCAAGTCTGCTGATAACCCACTACTACTATGGACTATTGGACTATATTGGGTTATTTTGCTGAATTCAAGCACCTGCAATATTTGAATGGCAAAGCAACATCCATCTCTGACAAAACAAAATAAAAAAGGTGGATATAAATGAAGGACCATTTTGTAGTGAAAACAAATATATATATACAATATAGTTAGGATAGATATACAGCTACCTTCTCTTAGTTCGATGAAAAGAAAGATTTGTACTAATATTTAGACAAGATATCATGTCTGCATCTTGTACTCTGAATAACTACTACAAAGACAACAATATGCAGTATGTTAATTATTGGAACTGTCCTACTAACCTGTTTTGAAGCTGTCTCATTTCTATTTCTTTCTCATTAAAATTAATTTTTTTTAAAAGTAAAAAGATGAAGATAAAATTCCTTCCATTTTTACATCTGAATTATGAAGATTATATTGTGTATGATAGGCACCCCACCCCACTTAGCCCCGCTTTCCACCTCCTTGTGCCCCTGCCCCACCCCACCCCGGCACTTGACAGGCACCTTGACAGCTATAGGCACTCTGCACCCTGAGCAGCCAGGAACCAGAGGATGAGCCCGGCGCAGACTCAGGCAAGAGTTCACCAGTTGTGGCAGCAGTGGCAGTGGCAGTGGCTCCGGAGGAAGTGAATGAAAAAGGAAAGCTGATCCTTTCTGCAAATGACCATATAATTGCCTTTTTTTTTTTTTTTTTTTTTTTTTTTTCTTTTTTTTGGCAGAACCGGGGATTGAACTCAGCCCCTTGTGCTTGTCAGGCAAGCACTTATTCTACTGAGCCATCTCCCCAGCCCCAAGTTGCCTTTTGATGCTAATGTTTCTGGAAGAACCTTGAATGCCCATGGACTTTCAAACCCTGCTGCTCATAATCTTCAGTCCTCTTCTGATCACTTTAGAACCAGGATTGCCAGGGACCTGGATGCACTAGAGCACGTGTTCCCAGGAGTATGTGTATCCGTCTGATATCACTCCAAAGTAGAGCTCCATTCTGGTGTCAAACATTGACAACGTGAGGGCTGACTTTCTAATGGAAACCATTGCTAAGCAGGGCAAGACTGTGCTGTTAGTAGGTGAACAAGAACAGCCAAAACAGTCATCATCAAAGAATGCATGTCAAAGTAGGATCCTGCAAGTCACATGATCAAAAGTCTGAACTTCTCTTCTGCAAACACCCTTCTGATGTTTGAAGTACTGGCTTTATGGTACTGTTCATTGAAGCCAAGTTTGTGATGTACCATGGAAGGCTCACAGCACAACTTCACTCATGGGATGTGTTCACTCAATCTCATCTGAACTTCCATAGCCATAAAATATTCCTGACATGTCTCCCATTACTTGTTATTCACAGCAATAGACACTCTCATTGCTTGGATTGTGATGTATAATTGTAAACTGTGGAGAAACACAAAGCGTACCTAAGGTTCCACAAGTCTCAATACTGTCTAAAATGTAAGCCTGTGAACATGGAAAAAAAAATATTCTGTATAATGAACATTTTAATTAGTTTTTACTAGTAAAAGCACTCTGTAATGAATTGCCTTGCACTTTTCCAAGATTATGAGATAATGTATTTTCCTGTGTATTAATGGTGTGAAATACAGGCATGCTTCTCTAACATATGTAGGCTTCAGTCAGACTTGCTGAAGTGGCTGCTTCTCAATTTTGAAGTCTAGGTGCCAAAGCCAGTTGTACTTGTAGGAGGATTGGATTGGCAATGGCCTGTGTTGTATGCTTTCAGAGATGCCAGACATATCCCTACCCCCAAGCTTATCATAATGCCTGCAATTTCAACAACCGAGATATATTCCCTTGGGTTTATAACTTGCTATCTTGAGGTGATCCTTTAAACAAATCATTCATTTCTCTGGTTATGGATATGCTAGAAAATTAAGAACAACTAAATTCATTTAGTTGATAAATGAAAATAGCAATTATCTCTATGTAATTAACAACCTGGACACCACTACTATTAACACTTGGAAAAACAGGAAAAAAAATGGTCATCTTTTCCTGTACATGAAATTGAAAAGTTGATGTTTTTTAGAAAAATGATTTTGTTATGCATTGAAACAGCTTTACAATAAGAGAAATGTGAATATAAGTTCCAACCATTCCTTTAAGTTTGCTTCTGTTTCTTCATTCAGTAGCTATTACTAAATACCTACTACGTGTACAACATTCAGCTATGCACAGACTAGTGTTGACACTTTTATCAGTAGATGGCCTCTGTTTCAGCATATAAATGTATATATATATATATATCTTTACAAGTCAGTGATCATGTTACAATATGTGAATTGACTTTTATGCTCTTTCTTTTTGAACATTATTGCACATACTTCTTGGTTTCTAAGCATTGTAGAGTGTGCAATTATGTTGATTTCACAATATTCCCATTCCTGAAAGTGTGGGATGTTTTCACCCCTCCTCCTGCATTTTAGATGTTTTCTTGGACTTTATTCCTCAAAGGAATTGTCAAATCAAAGGGCATAATGGTTACTTATTTGAACAATCTTGTTTGAGAATTCAAATACTCATAGTAGAAGCTTCTTATGGATGTAATCAAGCAGGTGGTTTTCTTCACAGGCAGAAAGACAGAGGGCACCAAAGATGAATTTTGCCATCTTTGTAGCTCAGCCAGTCTTCTGGGACCAGCAGGAATGGTTTCTAGTAGTGTTTTCTTTTTGCAATTTTTAGGTAGTAAATTCCACTACCTGCAAGCTCTGGGAGGGCATAGACCTTTGCATCTAGCATAAAGCCAACAGCTTTGCTCTTCATTAAATTTGATTTGTTGAGGAAGAACTCAAACTTCTATACTTTATCACTGATGCATCTAAGCAGCTACTGACACACCATGTATTAGCTTTCCCATCATTGGAGCACAATACTTAACACCCACAACATGAAGGAGAAGTTTAATTTTGCTCCTGGTTTCAAAGGCTTCTGTCCATGTGGGTTGATTCCAAGGCGGAAACATCATGGCAGAAGGATGTAGCAAAGTAAATATGCATAGTTCGTGGCAGCTGGGAAAATGGCAGAGGAACAGAGCCAGAGAAGAAGGGTCAGAAGGCAAATAGAGACTGGTCATGCTGCCATGACCTACCCAGACACACCCAGAAGTGTGCTTTTCTAATCCTCTACACAGCTCCCAAGCCAACAAAGTGGAAAATAGTCACCAGTTAATTCCTTTATATCACAAAACATTGATTATTGTGAATTTTCCATAAGATGGGCCCTCCTAGTGGTGGGTGCTGAAGAACTGGATCCGCTAATACAGCTGACACATAGGGGAAAGCTCATGGCTGTGCCTACTGGTACCCTTGGATGGGTTCCCAGACAGGAGCTGCTGAGAGAATTCTCACTATGGAGCCCTTAGACTAACTCATAACAAGGTTGACCATCTCCTAGCCAAATCTTTCTCCATTGTCACAGCAGTACTGAGCTACAGACAGCACCAGATTCAAGCAGGTGGCACTGGCACCTCCCAAGTGGTCATGTGGTGAGAATGAGCACGCATTCCTGTTTCTCTCATCTTCTGTTACTTAGGTAGAAGAAGTGCATGAGGAACCAAAGAAAGGGAAATTCTTAGCCTGGTGCCGGTCCTCAAATACAGGAATCGTAAATAGGAATTTCATCGAGATATTTATTCATTTGATCTTTCAGTAAATATTTATTAAAAGCCCACCTGTTCAAAACATTAATCTAATGTTGGAAAGAAAATAGAAAATATTTGCCCTCAAAAACTATATTACAGAAGAAATAGATAAATGAATAAATAAGTAAATAAATGAGGAAAGGGTCCATATAAGAACCTTAGTGCTAAAGCAATTCAAAGGGCCAGCCAAATAGCTCAGTGGATAAAAGCACCTGCAAGTAGGCGCAGAAGCTGGGGGTTTGATCCCCAGGCCTGCCCTGCCGACCCCACACCCAGGGCATGCTGAGAGGGCAATTGAGACTGAGCATGGTGGTGCACGCCTGTAGCCTCAGATCTTGGGAAGCTGTAAACAGGCAGATCACTATGAGTCCCGTCTAGTAGTAAGACCCTGAATACCCTACAGACCCTTCCCTAAAATACAAAAAAAAAAAAAAGTAATTCAAAGCTCTGGTCTTTCTGAATCACTCTCAGAATTCCTCTTTGGTACTAAACTGAGTAAAATCTATCAATATTCTTCAGTTTAATTTAACAACCAGTGGGCTGAGGATACAGCTCAGCAACACAGAATCTGCCTGGGAAACACAAGGTGTTGAGTTTGATTCCTGGTTTAAAAAAAAAAATCTAACAACCAAGGTACCTGCATCCTATATTGGACTGGGAAGCTGTAAATTATGAAAAACAACAAGAGGTTCCTCTCCCCCAAAGCACTCACCTTTCAAACAGGGTGGTTGGATATCTCCAAATAACCACAATAATTGGTGTCTGCACTATGTATTTCATTCTGTGTGTGCCCATCTCCGTTCGTGGGGCTATGACATGTCAAAGTTATGCTTCACGCTCAGAGTATCCTGGGTCCACAAGTGCAGAGCTTGCATCCGGCTTCTCGTAGGGTATTTGTAGCTATGATTCCAGGACAGAGTTCATTTCACCCTTCTGCTCTTTTACCCTCCCCCCTTTCCTTGCTTCCTTCACTCTCAATTGTCCTTTGTCCTACAGCTATCAGAGAGTTTGCCATTTCCTCACTTTGCTACTGTCCCCAGGGTCAGGAGACATTAGGGACACTCTTTTCCTTGGCTCTTTGCTCATCTAATTTCATTGTTTCTCACATTTACAAACTATGACAAAGGAAGGATCTTGGTATAGCTTATTCATATTACACATTAAACACTTAAGGGCCAGAGAACTTCGCTGATTATCGAATGTCAAATGGCCAGTTAGTTGCTTCCTACAGAAAGCATTTATGCTGAGGTGAGCCTAGGGGTAAGTTTTTGGGAACAAAGATTCACAGATTTCAAGAGTTTTATTTGTATGCTGCTCCCTGTTAGTGGAAAAAGAAAGGAGCCTGCAGTTAACCAGATAGAAGTAATTCACAGAGAGATAAAGTCACTTGGCTTACTCAGAGATGAAGCAGTGGAAGCAAAATTACAGGTAGTTAAGAAGTGAATGGAATAAATGTGATGATGCATGCCTGAAATCCCAGAACTCTGGGAGGCCAAGGCAGGAGGATCACAAGTACTGAATCCAACCTAAGTAACTTGACAAGACCCTGTAAAGAAAAAAAAAAAAAAAAAGATTGAGATATAGATCATGTGAAGGCTCTGAGTTCAAGTTCTAGTACTACAACAAGGAGAGAGAGGAAGAAGGAGAAAGAGGAGGAAGAGGAAGAAAACAAGGAGACGGGGAAGAAAACGAGAAAGGAGAAGGAGGAGGGAATGAGGAGAGAAATGAAAAGAAAGAACAAAGAAGGAATCAGGCAGTAAAAGATGGAAGCTGACTCCCTAGTGGAGTTCACTCATAGTGAGAGAAGATGTTAATTGAGAATTTGAATGAAAACAAGAGGATTATCATTTCAGTATGTTGAAGACATAATAGCAAAGGGAAAGGTCATTTATTAGATGAATTGAAGTTTCAAGAAAGGAAATTAATTTTACCAAGCAAGGCTGAGGGGCGCTGGAAGGAGGTGAGATTAAAGCCATAGTGGGGGAATGATTTCCCGCCTTATTTTTCCATGAAATATGTCTGACTCTAAATTTCACAAAGACAAGGAACACATCTGGCTCTGCTCACTATTGTGCTTGGTACTTGGCACATAGAAGGAATAAATGAATGGAAGTTGGTTGAAGGAATAAATGAATGAATAAAAGATAAGGGCATGTTACAATGCTGTACTTAGGCACTCAGTAACATAAGTTTAGGAAAATAAAAGGGAAAAAAGAAAAGAAGTTAAAATGTAACACAGATGCTTGCTTTGGCCTCTTTGGCCAATGTACTGGATGACATCCAGGAAACCAAGACAAATTGTCAGTAGTCCCTGCCATATAGAGAAACTGACAGTTCTGGTGACTTCAGTGCTGATGTTAATTGGAACTGTACATTACAGCATAAAGTTATTTATCATCTTGAGTTCTGAATGCCAAGTGAAATTTATCATGTAAATCTTTATATGAATAGCAGAGTAGCTTGTGCCCTTGACAGAAATTTCACCTCCCAACACACATAAATTACACCTTGATACAGGGGTGATATTTGAATTATTTCACAACTGTTATGATTCAAAAGCTGACCAGAAAAACAGCCAACCCTAAAGAACCAGCAAGGCTGTACCTTCCCATAGCATCAGGACAGGGCATTGCTTATAATGATGTTCAGAGAACATGAATGCCAAGTTTTTAAAAAGTTCTTCTGTAAGGTGAAAGAGACAGTATGCAAAGCAGTGGTGCATGTTACCTGAGAGAATTGCCCCCAAATTCTCATCTGATGCATTTCTATCCATTAGAGTGCTGTTTCAGTCACTTTTCTGCAGACTTCAGAAACCCCTATAGGGATCATGCTGTTTTCCTTACCTTATGGAGCTCTTGAGCCAGTAACACCTCAAAGAAACCTGCTCTTCATTAGTCTATGCCAATTAGTTTCATTAGCCTGAAGATATTTCCAATATCTGCCATTCATCCCCATCACATATTTAGCAGATCACATTCTTGATAAGGCAACCACAAAAAAGGATGGAGAAAAGTTTATGACATGGAGTCCTATTATGAATCTAAGCTTCATGAAGAAGCAGACTGACAATACTAGGAAGTAAGATTCTAATTCCTTGAGTTTTCTGTGGGTCATGTAAAGAGCTTCCATCTCTAATACTAAAAGATGAAAAAACAAATATAAAGGTGTTACACTTCTGCCACTGCTTATGGTATTAAGGACTTTACAGTACCTAGTCCTGTATTTTGCTTAATAAAACTTAAAGAAGCGTAGCTGATAGCAGACTTCTGGAAATTTAGGGCAGTTCACAAGCAATCACTTCCACTGCTTCCATTCCTACAGAATATGGAACTTATTTCACAGGACTGCAATTTACCAGTCATTCAAAACCATCAGGAAAAAAAGAGGAAAAGAACAGCATTGTGAGCTGAAGTGTGTCCTCCAAAATTCATATATTGATCCCCTAACTTCCAATACCTGATACTGTGACTGTATTGGAAATAGAACTTTTAAAGATGTGATTAAACTGACTTGAAGCTGTAAGGGTGGAACTCAGTGAGACTAGAAGTGTGGGTATATCTGAAATTTGTAAGAGAAAAGTCAGGTATGCAAAGAAACCATGGGTACAAACAGCACTCTAGAGGAAAGGCCATGTTCAGACACAGCAAAGAGGCAGCAACCTGTAAGCTAGAAAAAGAAACGACATCTGATTTTGGACTTCCAGCCTCTAGATTTGTACAAATTAATCTCTGTTGTTATGCGGGAAATTGCCTTCACCAGATCCAGAGCCACCAACTCCAGGGCCTCCAGCACAATGCCATAGGAAAAGACCTTCAAGCAGTGCTGCACCTTCCAACAAAGTAGATGTCCAGCTCATCCAAGAGCAGCATGCCACCAAGGTCCTGGTGATCATAGAATGATTCAAGGGTGAGAAGCAGCTGTCTGTCCTGGGATTAAAATCAAGTAGTTCACCCCTGACCATGTCAACACAAGTGAGCTTGTCAAGAAAAACAGGGTGAGCATGTCCACTCCCCATGTTGGAGGTGTATGACAGTGAGAAGGACAAGGACGGCTTCCTGTGCATGGTATATGCCTCCCAGGAGACCTTTGGGAAACAGCTGTTGAGATACGACTAGAACAGTGTTCCAGAAGTTTCTGAACCCTTGCCAATGAAAAAAAAGGGATGTTACCAACTGAAATGGCTCAGCTCATCTAGTCACAGCTCATCAAGATGGTCTTGTTCCAGCTAGGAGTTTCAGGAAGTTGTTTTTGCATTTCATGCAGAAAAAAATGAGCTCCAGTGAGCACACTCAGCTTTGGAAAGCTCTATTATTTAACCTCAGCTACCTTGTTTTCAAAGCTTAGAGTTTAAAAATAAAATATTCTGCATTCTTAAAAAAAAATCTGGGTGTTTAAGCATCCCAGTCTGTAGTACTGGGTTATGGCTGCCAGTAATACAAACAGATACTTAATGCAGGCCTAATGCACATGGGCTTCAGTGACAGAATCTCTTAACTGGATTGCAGCAATTTGTACCTGGACCTGAGTTTTCTATTATTTTATATCCTATTATATTTTTTTCTTTCACTCCCCACAAAGGCCAGGGAAGTTCATTTTACAGAGTATGGCCTACTATAAATATTTTACTTGAATATATATATTTTTTAATTTTTAATTTTTAATTATTTATTTTTTGTGGTACCAGGGATCAAACTCAAAGCAAAGCAAAAGAAGTCATGAGGAGAGAGAGAGAGAGAGAGAGAGAGAGAGAGAGAGAGAGAGAGAGAACTGAGAGATCTACAGGGGCACTTCAGGAACAGACATTAAAAGATGGCTAGAGCCAAGTGCAGTGGCCCACACTAGCAGTAC